CGATCTATCGATTGAAGCATAAGGAAAGTTAAAGCGAATTTAATCAGTAATTCAAACTTCTGTTTCAATTTCTGATTAGATTTTAAACGTAAAAACTCTGGTATACATTTTGTTTTCAGCACCCTACCTCAGCCATTGGTTCGTTTCTTCGGGAGACCAGAAAAATGCAACCGAGTGCATTGGCAGGTTAAACGTGTTGAAATACTTCTTGATTGCGAAAAAAGAATGATATCTAATAAATTAGAAGTGGGAACAGCTCGATGACAACGCTGGAAGAGTGTCCGACGATTCAAGCACTAAAGAAGTTGGAAAAATCCGGAAAGCTAGACGACAGCTCTGCTCTGTAAGGCGGCGGGATCACACCATCATCGAGCACATCTACTCTCTAACTTCATATAACCGTTTTCAATCCGAATCTCAGTCGATATTTACGATTTCCATAGGTGAAGCTGCCAGTGCAGATTCAGTCGCAAATTTTGAGCCTCTCTCTGCAGCTCAGTTATCAGTTAAAATTTCTTCTCCCAGAAAGTTCTATAGCAGAAATGAACGAGATGTACAATATATGAACTCCTCATTTTGTTTCTAATAAGGAACTGCCATCGAATAGAGAATATATCCTTGCTCATGGTTTTGTTTAATTGCTTATTTCCATACCAATATAATTTATTTAACACCTTATTAATGAATCTTTCTTTGCTGAAAAGAGGAATTTGCTGTCAACTTTCACTGCTAGGCCGAAAATGATCCAAGTGTTTGCATTGGTGTCTTATAGAATTCGATCGTGACAGTTTGCATCTAGATATACTGCCTGCATTGCTGCTATTCTTTCATTTTAATAATCATGGTCAGCATGATCTCCTGCTGGTCACTCTCGAGTTGACTTCAGCTGAATGATGAGGAATGCCGGGAACATGTTCTCGTTGTCCGTAATGTCAGGGCACAATCGATGAGCGATGCTGTACCAGCAGAATTCAGCACTGAACGGGTCAATAATAATGAGGTCAACCGGTGTGAACAGCCTTGTCTTGGATACCAATGATCATCTGACATTGCGGAAAAGCGTGTAACTCGATACGCCCAGATCGACGAACGCTTCTTACCCTCTGAGGCGTCTGCGAGCTTGACGCGAACTCAGCAATCGTATGGCAATTTGTTCGAAGATGCGTGATTATTATTGCGATTTTTCGATTTACTATGGGGGCATCAAGGTTTTACAACACACTATCAGAATATCCGAACAGCCCGAAGGATTCAGATACAGTGTAGTAGCCAAATGGTGGTCTCGAGGGGAACTTTTTTGCAAATTTTTATATAACCCTGATCATTCGTTGCATGAGAAGCTGGCACCGAGGTTACAATGCTACCAGTTCGGCGGCGAGAACTGAGACGTACGATTGGTCGTCTACATTTGTACTTAATTGCGCTAGGACACTGATACGTCAGATGAGGGAATCATATAAGTCCCTCCGAATGATTTCAAAATGATCAGGAAAACAGCAATTAAATGATAGTCAAAATTTGCCCCTTACCTTGGACTGAAAACCAACTGGATATTTTTTGGTCTATTACGGGTGATTGAATGAACTGATGTTCGCATTATGAAGATTCAGAATAAAAGGGCTTAAGTGTCAACGGAAAGGACCAACCACGATTACAAAGCAATCAGAATCACGCTCTGACTATCATTATGTCAGAACAGCAGATTAAATCTCACTCACCCGTTGGACTCAGCTAGATAATCATGAACTCGAATTCCTACCGGGACAACGAAACTTTAATATTCTGAGAAAGATATTCAAGTACCACTGTGTGACAGGAAGCCTCAACTCAAACTGATCCCACCTAAATAGACGTTGCCTTCTGAAAAATACGACACTCATGAAGGATGACATTGTGATGGACATTAGTTCCGAACTGTGAGATCCATAGAAAAAACGTATTAATCAATGACTTTCACACGTAATAGTCGGAATTTCCCGACGATAACAAGTACTGCCTTTTCTTATTTACTCCAGGTATCATATCTGCTCAGACTTGGACGAGATGTCATCTCCCTAAGCTGGCTTTAGTAATGCTTCATCACGCTTTCGAAACCTCACTAGTACTTATGAATATTCTTACGAACTGCTAATTTCGTTCCTCAGTGGCGAGCGTTGCTGAACAGCGACGGCATACGGCTTTCTACTGAACTCGTTTC